AGGATCTTGATGGCCCACGTCTCGTTCTTTAATAATATTCTGTCTTGTTTATATATTTATTTGTTCAGCAGATTATATTGCAGAAAATAGTCTCTCTAGAACTCTGATAAGTATAGTAAATATTCGTAGATCTACTCTGTTAATTATCCTAATAGGAGTTAGAAATAAGGTACGCTATATATCCAACTTACAGCAGCATTGTCAGTAAATAAGTTTTGCTTTTGTTTGTGACTTCATTATTACCGTCGTCATCAACATAATGTCGTCAGTCCTAAGACTAGTTGGACACACACCTCCACTGTTTCCTATCCTGAGCTAATCTTCGCATTTCCCTAGAACTAGAACAAAAAAAAAAACTTTTGGATGTTTCATTCCCACCAGCCACTAATGCTAATGGGCGGGCAGTCCCCCCCGAACTACGCCGGTAGGCCCTCTTCAGCCTGCTTTCAGGAATCGTGGGTTTGGGTGGGTGATGGTTCGGGTGAGAAAGTTGAGACGGACGAAATGAAGACAGAAGAGAATGAAAGATTATCTGTGGAATATTACTGCCTCAGCACATGCCTAGGTGATCCAAGAAAACCACAGGAAAACTTGGACCAAGGCAGACGGACCCGGAATCGAACGGGCGTCCTCACGAATGCTAGGCAATAGTCTAAACCTCTAGGCCATGTCGCTCGGTTCTATAACTAGAATACCCATATCCTTAACTATTTGCGAACAGTAATCTAATGTAGGTTTACCTCTACCCCTCCTAACTTCTGTTTCTGCCTCTAATATGTCTCTAACTAGATCTTCATGCCTGAGAAGGTGTCCTACTAACTTATCTCGCCTATTTCTGATTGACTTCCAAAGAACCTCTGTTCTCTTACTCTTTTTAATACCTATTCATTTCTAACCTCTATCCACGGAATCCTCATCATTTGCCTGTAATTACCATTACAATCACGATACATTTTTATATTCTTAAACTTCTCGACTTATAACGACATTTCTCGTGAGTCGTAACATAAAAAATTACGACCTTTATTATTACCGAATAAAGTCGTCAATGGTTGATTACTGACCGTTAAAAATTCGTTATCGTCACCAGATTTAGGTGCTTACTCCCTGAAAACGAATATCTTCTGGATAATGAGGCTCGTAAATATTCGGAAGAATTAAATACCTATAAGAGCCGATTAGCCGTGACTATATGTACTTCAAAAAAAAACAACAACTTTGAAAAAGTCGTTAAAACAATAACGATGTTGTAGGCCTGAAAATTTAACGACCATTGCGATGAAAATGTGCTACGGCCGATCACTGTGGGAGACCGTCACAATATTGGGAACTTCCTATAAGTAAAGATATACAAAACACTAGGACGTAAATCTGCTTTTTTCGAAATGAAATAGGTACCTAACAATAAGAATGCTGCTTTCTACTTCGTGGGAATGGGTGGGTGGTGGTTCAGGTGAGAAAGATGACGCTCGGACGAAATGAAGACAGAAGAGAATGAAAAATTATCTGTGGAATATTACTGCCTAAACATTTGCTTAAGTGATCCAAGGAAACCACAGAAAAACTTGGACCAAGGCAGACGGACCCGGAATTGAACCGGCGTCCTCCCGAATGCTAAACAATGGTCTAAACCTCTAGGTCATGCCGCTCGGTTTAGGAGGTTGGAGGAAACAAATTTATACATATATACTTGTAACTATTTTAGAAAGGAATTGTATTATTCGACCACTGAAAGAAGGCATTATTTGGCGAAATTACAATAAATTGTGAATATTTACAATGAAATAATTTTGTTACTGAACATTGCGTTTTTTATGATGGGTAAATTTTATATATTGAGTTATTTGTAATTTTTAGAAGGTTTTAAAGTTACCTGGGTCGCGAAATACGCCAGGAATTGACATTATTGACCGACCAGAAAGTAGAAGTAGAAGTGGAAATCAATTAACAAGTTGACTTTTGTCACTATGCAACCCAAGGTCATGGCTTATGGGATTCAAAGTTCAAAGGAACCTTTTTAATTACTTTAGAATGAATTAGATTCAGATTTTGTGTGGTGCATCTTTCGTAAAATGGTTTGTCAACTCGACAATTGTTTCATTGTACGAGTTTCCATTTTTAAGAGTTAATAAACACACTATTCGGAATTAGAATTATAATTAGAATAGTAACACTTAGTTATTTGTTATCTAGTGTCTAAGTACTATTTATATACTTCGCACGTCCTTCATTGTTTAGTTATACCTAGATCAAAATTTCATAACAAATCCTTTAGTAAGTAAGTTATTTGCTTGATTTTTGAGAACTGAAAAGAGTATGATAAGCTATTGAAGTAAAGATAGAGGTGTTATTAGGATTATATGCTGACCCGACTAGAAATTAGTTGAGGGAACTCGGATTATGATCAGATCCGGATCAGATTTTCCGTTATACTTCTATCTGATCAGTTCCTGATCAGTGTACAGTACTCCATCCCTTAATCTGGTCACCTAATCAGGAACTGATCAGCGTACAGTATGCTTTCCCTTGATGCAGCTATTTGATTAATTTCTCATCGAAGCACAGTTGGTCCAGCCGCCTTATCAGGAATTGTTCAATGTATCTATAGTAACCTTTCCCTTGATCCGTCTATCTGAGCATTTTCTGACCAAAGTACAGTGCGTTATCCCTTGATTCAATCATCTGATCAGTTCCTTATCAGCTAATACTACGAATCTTATTACGGTTTCGATAGATACGTTGTTTAAAGCAAGATTGTATCCGATGTCCTGAACTGGATCATAGTACAGAATTTAGTTTTTTATCTGATCTATTCTGTATGTAGTATTGTTTATTATTAATGTTATGACTAAATCATTATAATTTAATGTCAAATTAACATGTAAAAACAAAATTAATCCTGATCCTTTGGACGGAACCGGTATGGATCTTTTGGCCAAATTGGACATGAATCTTTGAAATGGGTTTTGGGAAATTGATTTTTGAAACGAATCCAGCATAGATCTTTGGAACCTTCTAAACGGATCCTATGCGGATCATATATGGCGTGACAATTTTTAATTATATCCAGATCAGGAAGCCTGATTTATCCCTGATCAATCTTCAGACAATCCTGATCCGAATCGGACCCTATACTGAACTAATTTCCATTCGAGAGGCATGCACAGGTAATTAGAAATCACAAGTGAATGAGTAAAAGATCTGTTACAATATTGTAACATAAGGTTAGTAAACCTAGTAAGTGTTGCTTTATATCAATCCAGAAACGCAAAACTGCTCTTAAGATCAATTTACTTAGGTGTATAAGAGCATCCATCTGGTTACAATAAAGTTCCCAAAATAAACACATCTCACGGTCTCGCACGCTCCCGTAACGAGCCGTTAATTTTATTCATTGTGGATCTTCATAGCGTGTATCTATTACAGAAAACTTTTTGTGAGCAGTACCTATATTTATCATTTCATTCATTTAACTATAAATAACCGCTCGGTACAAAATAAGGGAAGAGTTTACTGCATCCAAAAGCTTCCTTTCTTTCTCCTTTGTTTGTTATTATTGTTAATTTACTAAGTCGCAACAAGGATTGCTTTTCAATTTCCTTTTGTGTTTCGCAAAAACCACCTGATGCCGCGTCTTTTGAACGGCAGTAAAGTTTCAATGAAATTAAAAGAGCGATTTGTGCCACACCGAAGTAGCGTCATGAAAAGCAGCAACAGCTATTAAATCGTTAAGTTTTTACGAGCGGTCGTAAAACGTTTTATAGCCGTGGCACGTTCCTTGGACAGACGGTGACGTTTCAAATACTACTACTGGCACTGTACTCCCATTACTACGGCTACTACGACTGCTGACTGTTCTTATTGAGGTTTACAAACTGAAGAATGCTTATAACTTAAACATCGGCGGGTCGGTGACGTTTACGAGCTTTATAACTGCCAGTAAAATCGGTCTTTACAACCATATTTTATTCTAAGCTTTTGTGAACGTTTATTGACGACAGGCCGTCTCATTCATGTCCATCATGAAATTCAGTGGAAAATTTGAATGAATTTAGACATTTCTTCTTTTAGATGAAATGATACTTTTTCGTGTTATTTTTAATTCACTTGTGTACACGTATAATCCAATAATCATTAAACCCGATTTAAATACAAAAAATATTAGGAATTTTTTAATGGTTATCAAAATTTGAGATAGATTGTGACAAGGGTTCTAGCTTTTGTTTTATCACTGCTTTAGCATTCTTTCGATAGGAAACGATTTGTTTAGTGCACCCTTAAAAAACCATTAAGTGGTTGTTCCGGGATCCAAATTATCTATTACGAAGATGGTTAAGGGCCCATTCGATTTCATGTTGCTCGTTTCGCCGCTAGAACGTATCTGTTCTCGAATTTCAGCACCTATTCGCTAGGGGTCGCCAGCAATCCATCGAGGAATCCGCGCTTTTCGAACAAGGACAGATAATAACCTTCTCGGTGGGAGAAATTGATCCTACGGGTACGGATCACGTTTTCCTTGCGCAGTGATCTAAGTGGGCGCGCTCGAGCCGTGACAAATCGCGCTACTATTGGTTCAACGCTCATCCCTACCGAGCCGCGTGGCGCTTCCTGTCATCTCTCTTTCACATAGAATTCATTGGGTTTCCTGTCTCTTGCTAGCACTCTTGATCATGCCGCCGCACTAAAGATAAACTGCCTGTTTATGAACTGTTTTATTGACTTATCCAACGGTGCAGCTTTACGTTTTAGAAATCCTGGAACGAAACTTTTCAGACAGTAGTAATCACGGTTTTGATGAAATCGACTTTATTTTTCAAAAAAATTTAATTTTTAGTAATACCAGAATATTTTTAGAGAAAGTTTTTGGATTTTTGAGATGCACTCGTGCGTGCGTATAGAAACGGATTGCGCCTCGTGGTTGATGTGGAAGGGGTGGGGGTATCGCGGAATGTCTGTGAGCAAGAAAGAGAAGTAGGGGCTTGTGCGAGCAGGATCGCGAATGGGACGGGAATGTGTGGGCCGGAGCAGACTCACAGCAGCTCCAGTGGGCCCCGATCCGCGTTTAGAATAGCAAGTGAATCGCGTGCATTCCCGAGAAAGTCTCGGTAACGTGTACACTCGTACGAGCTCGTATCCAGCCGTTTTATAGCACATTTTACGACCGTCACATCGTAACAATAATCATTTTATTAACTATTAAACGCTCACCGCTCCCTCCTGCAACGTCCTTTACGATTCCAAACAAATTGTTTTATTACCGTCATCATGGTTCCTTCCGTAATTCTGCCAACGATCAAAAAACAGTAACGAAATAAACTTTTTATCGTGGTTCCAGTGACAGTGACTTTTGAACATAGTGAGTGTGTTTTTCAATTGACATGCTGGCCTTGCACAAGTAGAATTTGTGTTAGTTTATTGTCGTAGATTGGTTTCCGAAAAAATCGTTCAAAATTCATTCGATAATAATGAACTCGTACTTTGAGCAGAGCGGGTTTTACGGAAGTCACCATCACCAAAGTGCGGGATCGGCTGCGGCTCATCATCACGATCAGAGTGCCGTAGCCGCGGCAGCATACAGATCGTTCCCTTTATCTCTGGGAATGTCCCCGTACGCTTCCAGTCAGCACCACCACCATCATTCATTACACCAGACTCGTCCTCCACAGGACTCACCTTATGACGCTTCGGTGGCTGCGGCCTGTAAATTGTATTCCTCCTCAGGAGACAGTCAACAAAATTCTGCATATAACTCCTCTACAAAACCTGACTGTTCAAAAGGAAGTGCTGATCAAAATGGTTATGCATCGGTGGTAGCTGCAGCCGCGGTCAAAGACGTCTGGCAGAACGCCGCGGCTACCGGTGGTGGTGCCAATTTGGCCAGTAGTCTGGCGGGACCCGTACGACCCGCTGCATGTACTCCAGACTCTAGGGTGGGCTACGGGTCCGGACTCGTCGGCGGAGATCCCGCATCTAGTCCGGGATCAGCCGCAAGTCGTACCGCGAACTCTCTGGCTTCATGGAACAATCCGTGCTCCTTGAACACTAACTCAGCACAGGCAGTAGGAACCCAGCTGCATCAACAAGGAAGCCACACGTTCTACCCCTGGATGGCAATAGCAGGTACTTGAAATGTCATTTTATCAATCTTAGAAAGCCCACGTAAGCTTTGAAAAAGCTGAACATAAACGCAGTATATTCTCTTCTAGAAAGGAACTAACTAGACGAAAATTATAAAGAAAAGTGCGAAAAAGTATAAGAGAATAAGTTAAGTAGTACCTAAACGATGTAGAGGCCTGAGATATTAATTATTAGATGTTATATATTCGTGTTTCTTGATGGTAGGTGCCTTATTTAAATAAAGGTCCAATCAGTCTAGGCTCTGAGATAACAATATAATTCATCATTTTGGTTGGATGATAATAAATTGAAAACGAAAGTTCTGCTAATTATGATATGATGTGTGTACTTGACACGATTAATAAGCTGGACTCCACGGAAGGGCCCACTACATTTGTAAAACGATCCCGTACACCTCTAGGTGTTACGGTTGTATGTATGTAAATGGCCAAGCTCTTTAACCCCGGACCGAGTCAAGTGTGTGTAAAATTGGGGCTGAATGCATCGATGCATCTCACTCGTACCCTGCATTCAGAACAGTTTCTCTCTTTGTTTCCCGAAAGAGGCTCGTCATTTGATTCGGCATGTTCAAAATGCACCAGCGCGAATTAATATAAGATACCAAAAGTGCAGACAAAATAAAAGGTTCAAATGACGCCGGTATAAAACGACGGTTGACAATGTGTGCTAGAGTCTCGCATTTAAATCTTAAATGATAACATGATACTTGAATATAAGTCTCGTAAAGAACTAAATTCTAAGGCTTATATATTCCTGGCAACTGCGTGTTTACTGCAAAATTTATATGTTACCTTTTAGGATGTAGCATACACAAATTGTTCCTGTCGCTCACAAAGGATGAACAGTTAAGTTCATTCTTCATTTTTTATTGGGAGCGTCAGGAATTCTGCTGTAATAAATAATACTAAAATTGCAACAAAAGTTCCTAAAATCCATCATAAATTCTATCAGAAACCACTGGTCATTACGTACATGTTTATAGGATACCGTGGGTAGAGAAGGTTGGAAATGAGGAGGTATGAGAAAAAAGTAGGAGACCAGAGGACGCCAGTGAAATCAATAAAAAATCGGCGAAATAGGTTGGTAGGACGCCTTCTCAGGCATGAAAGGCTAATTAGAAACATATTAGAAGCAGAAACAGGAATTAAGAAGAGTAGAGATTAAATTACTGTTCAAAAGTAGTTAAGGATGCGGGATGTTCTACTTTTAACGAAATACCATAATTATCTTAGGATAGAAAAGAGAGGAGGTGCCTGTGCAACTAGTCTTAGGAGTGACGATCTTATGATGATATACTAAACACTTCCAGTGGATACTCCATTTTTTATTGCTAGGGTTACTTACTATTTTAAACTATTTAGTGTGATCGCTTCTTTGTTGACATGAATTACTTGGAAATATGTTCATTTTTGGTTAAGTAACGCAAGACCTAATATTGTAGTAATTGAGTAATAATTTTTTAAACCAAATCAGCTGGTCAATACAAATGACATATTTGACGCAAATGGGAACAGAAAACCCGAGAAACCATTAGTAACTTAATCGTATAAATATGGAAGTCAATAAAAAAAAGACGAAATAGATTGGTAGGACACCTTCTCAGGCATGAAGGTCTAGTCAGAGACATATTATAGACAGAAACAGGAGTTAAGAGGAAATATGAAGATTAGGATTAGATCAGGACAGGAAGGAGTGGAGGTTCGTGTCCAACCAGTCTGATGATAATGTATAAATATAGTAATAATGAAAATTTTGAAAAGGTGATGATGGATATAGGAAGATAATATCCGTCGATATAAAAGAACAAAATGAGCGTCGAAAAATCTCTTTTTAATAAAATTACCGAATCGGTAATCATACAGATAGAAGAAGGTGCAATAATGCTTAAAAACCCTAATAGTAGGCAATAATTTTGGTGGTTCACCTCAAGTGTGCATTTAAGTCGATCCCTATTCCTTATATATTTTTGTGGTGAAATTGCTGGTGCATTTGGGTCGTGTTGTGATAATTTCCGAATGTTTGCGCCTCGGGCAAGGGGGGCGGCGATCGGATCAGCTGTTCGTACGGCCCACCGTTTGCGGCCTAGACGCCAAAACGAAATTAGAATATTATTCTTGCCGTTCGCGATTTATTGCCACGCTCGTATAAAAGTGGCTGTTAAAAGCACGTAACTCTTCTCCTAAAACGTTTTCTTCTCGAGTCGCTGAACTTCTGATTGACGACAACAACGATGCTCCGATACACCTATAATATTGCACGAGGAAGGTGACGTCAGGTGTATTTTCGAAAAGAAACGTTTTTTTGATTGCTGCCAGTTTGGCCAATATACGTATACAGATCTAAGGGCAAAGGATAAATCGAAAGGAAATAATTAATTTTTAAAGAAATGCAGGGATTTACCCATATATAATCAATCACGATGGTTATGATGACAATTAGATATTTGATTGAAGTGTGCAATTAATGGTAATTATCCAGAATTGGGGCTCCAGACTAAAATCGCTCCAAAAAATTTTTCATCGATTTCCGATCATTCTACATAACAGAATTAGATATTAGAAGGTGGGAGAGACAGTTTTTTATGACTTCATAAATAAAAAAAAAAATTTGAATTATAATTTTTCAAAATTCAAATCACAGTTGTAAACTGTATTTATGGGAAGAGATGGAAAGAGAGGAAATCAAGGGCGGAAAAGGGGGGTGTTGAAAGTTATACTTTACTAAAGCTTTTAATCTCCTTATCTCACGATTATCACTGCATAAATTTATTTTCTCAATATTAAAAGAAGAAATAGCTATACATACACCATTTACCCTATAATGTATGCTGGCTGTAATAAAAAAAAAATTGTCTCCCCGTCTCAAATATAATCATTGAACTTTCAGAAATGATCAGAAATCAATGATAAAATTTTTGAAGCGATTTTGGTCTGGAGCCCCAATTCTAGGAATTGGAAAACTAATGCTTTCTGTGAATAAAATACCCTAGCATATCAGCCCACCTTTGGCGGACAGAAGTATTAAATAAACTCTGATCTGTCATAAATCTACCTAAGCAAAAAATGATGTTACCAATGAGGTAAAGTTATCCAGAATTTTGAAAAATTATTGCAAAAGTCATAAAAAACTGTCTCCCCTACCTTCTAATATGTAATTCTATTATGTAGAATAACCAGAAATCGTTTTTTTCATTGTAATTTTTGGAGCGATTTTGGTCTGGAGCCCCAATTCTAGGAATTGGAAAACTAATGCTTTCTGTGAATAAAATACCCTAACATATCAGCCCACCTTCGGCGGACAGGGCTATTCAATAAAGTCTGATCTGTCATAAATCTACCTAAACAAAAAATGACGTTACCAATGCAGGTAATTATCCAGAATTGGGGCAATTTTGAAAAATTATTCAAAAAGTCATAAAAAGCTGTCTCCTCTACCTTCTAATATGTAATTCTATTATGTAGAATAACCAGAAATCGTTTTTTTCATTGTAATTTTTGGAGCGATTTTGGTCTGGAGCCCCAATTGTAGACAATTACCCAATTAATTCAACTGAAATTTTCGTATTTATGAATAAGAAAACAATTTCAGTGTTTGTTTGTACATATAGTATTAAAAATTGCCCGTTTTTTGTCTTTGTCTTGTAGTCTTCCGCCGGATTAGCTGATTTATTTGAATAAATGTCAAAACCTTGTGGCACAGTTCCAGCTTTAGCTTTAGAATGAAGCAGTAGGTACCTAATATTGTTCGCCTTTTTTTCTGTAAAACATTAATAGTAGACAGATTTACATATAGGTATAAATATTTCATTGTAGTATGGTTGGTAAACAATAAATTTTATTTATCCTTAATTGTATAAAATAAAAAAGTAATTCGTTTAAAAAAAATTATCTTTTATCGGAAGGATGATGATGGCTAACTTTTTTTATGACATTATCGCAATTTGTCCAGATGCGTATTCTTTACTTCGCTCATTTACCGCTAGGTGGCCCTAGCCATATTTCAACTGAGTATATAGCAGAGTGGCAAATTTTATACACTTTTTGAAACTAATGAAAACATTTCACTTACATTTTGAAATAAATTTCCCACGTAATGTCTTGATTTTGATAAATTTGTTACCTTTGCGACCCACTTGAACTCTATTATGATAATATAGGGAGTACTTTTTGTTCTTTTATGGATAGCAAAGGACTAGCCACTGTTTAATATTGGTAACGGCAACAAAATTTCAAAAATTTAACAAGGTTGTTTAATTTTCTATACCTATAAATATATTTCTAAAATCTATTGTACTTAAAAGCTTTTAAAAAGTATAAGAACAAAGGCTTTCACGGCCGGAATCCATAGTAGAATGAAGATTCGGGCTATAGGGCTGTGGTCTAAGTGAACTATTCTGTCCAGACGTTTCGTCGGTTACTGCGGCTGACATCCTCAGTGGTAGTATCTCGAAGTTTCGACAGCGATCCAGTCACTTCGGCCACGGCCCTATAGCCCGAATCATCATTCTATAGTACTACATATGTGTGTGTTTCCGAATAAATAATTAAGAATACTCATGTAAAGTACCTCCTTTTGGGCGTTTTGTTCATGAACTCTAAATTTGAATCAAGTATTTGTTTTGTGTCGTCACGTTTCCTAACGTCTTTATCTCGTGATTCAGTGTTGTTATACTTACCATTCAGACAGATTTTCCATGTTTATTATACAGAAACAGTGAAATGGATAAGATTTATTTTGAGACTGTATTTTCATGTCTGTATATATATATTCCTATAAGTTTTATATATGTACGACAGCGATAGCACTTATCCGGGTAGATAAGTTGTCATTGCAAACCTCGAAAACCTATGTTATTATCTTTTTGCCAACTTTACTAACAACAAAGTGATTTATTGCATAGATACGTAACGTCGGCTGTTCGTCCAACGGTAATGTTTATTGAAAGAAGGGGCATTCAAAATAATTTTCTTGTTCGTTCAATCATCGTTTA